GTCGGTCACCCCATTCACGAGCGCACTCTCTCTTTCTCAGTCGAATGCATAACGACTGCTCGCCGATAAGAATTTTGCCTTTTATGCGTCATCGATTTTTACCTTTTTTCATCACGAGATAATAATATCGATGAAAAGGCTATTTTTTACAATCGCAAGATAGTGATACAATAAAATCTAAGTATTCATACAACATCATAGATATTCCCTTTAATAAATATTTGATCAAACTAATTTGATTGTGAAAATGTCTATTGCAATAAATTGCATTTTTATGTCAACACGTGGATACGAAGTTAATTATTTCAGAAATAGAAATCTATGACCAATCAATTAAACATCTAATAATATAAATTATTGTAATTATGGATTTGTCATTAAAATCGTGTTCGTTATTAAAATTTATAGTTTTACCAATAATCAAAATATACTTTATACTTTATAGCTTAATTGGTATATGTATTTTATATCGCCATAAATACTTATTAACCGATTTTAATTAATCTCCGTTCTTAATAAAAAGTATCTTTAAGTGAAATAGTAAAAATAATTAATGGGAAGATTTGGGGAGAGTGTTTTAGTGTCACTACTAAACTATCACTGATAAGATTTTAGTATCACTAATGTAATCCCAAAGGTTTATCACTATTTTATAAAGTTAATTATATTTTATTTCGAATTTAATAAATAATGTTAGATTAGAAAAAAAACATTAATCCACTTGGAACGTCAAACTTCCATAAACTCATTAATATTTTAAAGGGATTATTACCGTGCAATTTTTAAAGAACCAAAATCACCAGACGTACAATAAACGTTTAAATAGTCGTTTTGATAATTTTGTATTTATTTATACAATTTTCAACATTAATTAAAAAAAAAACAAAAACAAAGACAAAAAGTATTATATATTATGTTATAATTAAACATGCTAATTATCATTGGCTTCATACATCTTTAAAAGTTCTACATTATTTAACTACTCGACGAGATTTTTCATTAATATAAAATAATAACTTAAACGTGCTAGAATATTTTATGATAGCTATATAATAATTCTGGTAAAATGTTCCTAATAACTATGTATTTTATAATTTCTTAGAATACAGTACAAATGTTAGAAACCGATATAGGAAAGTTGGCAGAATAAGTGCATTTAATAATTCACGATTGTATTATGCTTTAATAATAAGAGATCTTATTTTCACAGAATAAAAGCCAGCTGGATACGAATAGAAACAGTTATTATATAAAATTATTTTACATTAAAAAATTTTCAATATTTGTCCAAAAGTAAGGAAAAACTTTATAAAGATTATATGATTTTGGACAAATTATAAGATTGTACACGTGGACTCTAAAAACTATCTACTTTAGAGCATTACATCATTGTTTCATTGATGGCTTATGGCGTTTACGAAGTAATAATAAAAATAGACTTCCGCTTTATTTATTGGATAGGTTGAATCATTTTAAAGTGATCTTAATGAGATTGTCCTGTCACTCGGAGATGATGGTGAAATAAAACCTGATAAAGCTAGCTTGACTTCATTTTCTGGGATACCATTAGAACCTTCCAATATGCTTTATTGCATAATTTCTTAAGGTTTGAATTATTTTTAAAGCATGATTATCGTTATCTATCTAAATTTGAATGCATATTTTGTTCATTAAAAGTATTTTATTACTTAATATAATGAATTCGTCCATTTAATTTGATCTTTTAGGATTATGCAGAATTATCGAGCGACAGAAACTTAGGTATAAATTGTAAATAAACGATATAAGTTAATTAGTTATGAAAAAACGGTCAATATACCATAATTTGCAAGTATTTTGTTAAAATAATGTTTTCAGCAATATGTGTGTTGTATATTGTTAGGAATGGTGTATGCAGAGTATCAAATTAATTACAGGTTTTAGATAAAAATCGTTATAAAATAATAATAGCATTTTATATAAATATTACAATAAAGGTAAATATTAAGACAACACAAGATATTTAATAAACACAAACTGATGGAATTGTTGAGTTTGAGTTCTAAAGTTATTAAATTAAACTAAATTTTTGAAAGACTTGTTCGTATAAGCACGATTAAAAGTTTAAGATGGATGTTAGGAGTTAAGATGACTAAATAAATCATGTTATTAAAGACAGACGTTTTCCTACATAACTTTAATTACTTAATTAATCTTAACAGAGGGAATTTTACAATAAATAAATTATTTTAAGCGGTTATTTTTCATATTATTAATAGATGATATTATTAAATTAAATTTTGCAGCTACAAAGAAACCCCGTTTCGAAATAACATGTTACTATTATTATTTTCAGCATTTCATAATTATATTATTGAAAGTATGCCAGACTCTAACATAGTATCCAAATATTATAAAAACGAAAGAAATCATCATCCATAAGTATCATACTATAGAAATAGATAAATAAAATCTCGTCAAACAATGCGGAGTCATATATAAACTCAACACGCGTTTTCTCACGATTCACCAAACGGGTGACACAATACTGTGGATACAAATCGATGCATTGGCGGAAACGTGTAACGTACACACGCACATACGCACCACGTATGTTAATATCCACGCATGCACACGCATATGCAAACACACGTAAGCATGCACGTACGGACATTTATGCAAATATGCACATTTCTATAAATACACATTGCACATATACACATGGCACACACGCTCCATACTAAGTACAACGCACATTTTGCACAATATGTATACACAGATAATGCAGACAAACACAAAAGCGCATACGCGTGCGCATTACGCAGTTAACATTATAGACACACAATACACACATGGGTGCGCGTGTACAATACACAAAATTGAAATATGATACAAATGCAATACGACACGTTACACAGAATACGTAGGCAACACATGCACAATACCCACATAATATACGTACATAGGGAAATGCATGCGCATATCGTATATGGATACTTTTGTTTTCAAATGTATTTTCGAGGTTAGCTAGAAAATTTCTTTAACGTAATAGTGGAACTGTCCGTTCAAAAGAAATAAAAAATGGTTAATTGAAGCATTTGATACTATTGCAAAATGTACAATTAGTGGAATATATATTTTTTGCATCATATAAGTAATGATAACCTGCTCAAAATATTTTATTATTGTAATGCTTTAAAGATAGGGAAGTAGATTTCAAGACCTCTTACTTTCATAAATTTTAGATGTTGAATGACGTTAGGGATTCTTTTCCATTGTCCAGAGCCGCTTCTTTCTCCATATTTACAAGTTTTTTAATAATTGACTGTTCTTAAATTATCAATTTGAATTTTGAGAATCGAATTTTGGTTCAGATTAATTGATTTGTTTCATAGTGTAAATCATGGAAAGGAAATGAAGAATCAATGTTCTTTAGCAAATTTTGTATTTTAATATAAATTATGTATTAGAGTTCGAGAGTCAAGTCAAATTTCATCGTCTTATAAATTTTATAAATTATGCTAAATAAGAAAATTATAAATATCAAAATACATATCATAATAAATTTATGATAAAATATATTATTTATAATATTTTCGTTAGATAAATATTCTTTTAATAGTATTTTTATTGTAAAATTTTCTTTAAAATTTATGGATTTCTTTTTGGTTAATACTAGTTTGTTGAAAATCAGTTGATTTATCGTTGATACTATCAACTATTCATAAGTTAAGTATATTCTTTGTAATATAAACTTACCTATTAATGGAAAAATATGTAGCTATATGAAATAGCATTTTCTTCTTATTGAAATTTTGTTAATAAATTATGAATATGAAAAATAATAAAAGTACATTGTTAAGTATGTATTATTACTGGATTTATATTGTGTTATAAACTAGTTTCGTATCTTGTGAGGTATTTTTTCCTTCCAACTATTATTTTTTTCTTCGTTTTGAAAATGTATAAACATCGATATTTATTTTTATATTAATATAAATATTAACAAATTATTTTATTATTATTATTTTTTTTTTTCAATTAAAAAGATTATTAATACAAAAATCAATAAACATGAACCAAAATATGTATATCCATTCGCACTTATGCATACACATACGCGTAGACAGACGCGCGCGCTTATTTATTATTATTCATTGCACGAATGAGATGATTAATTTAAACTTATCATTTTATATAAATATGAAATATAGCTGTCCCAACTGATAATTTAGCTAAAAATTATTACAAGAGAGTTGTTAATATTCCATTATATGTAGAATCCATAGTGACGAAAATTTTAATATAAATACATAATCTTGGGATGATACAAAGGCATCGTGGAAGCTTAAATAATATGGAAGGCTTCGAATTACACAAACTTTCTAGATGAAAAAATGAAGAGTGTCGAGTAAAATAAAGAGGGTTGACCATTGTCTTTGTCTTGCATAATATATCGAAACAGGAGCATCGAATAGTACCACTACCATATCGTTCAAGACTCACTTCACACTTTCGAAAGGGAGCTTCCTCTCTATTCTCCCTTCCTCTTACCCCTTTCAATTCGCGCTCGCGTTCTCTCTTTTCCTTTTATACACATATCGATCTTCCGCGGTAGCGAGACGTTCGAGAGATGTAAAGAGTATTTGGTTGGATGGAGTAGAATGAGGGTTTGGAAGAGGGGTGGAGGTGGGGGTGGGGGTTTGTATGTCCGCTGCAGATTTAACGAAGGGATGGTGGAGGTGTCGTCTCGATAGCCCCTGGGACTCGTGAACGAAGGGAGAATCGAGCGGTGAGTCAAGTTCCTCGCGATGTCCTGTCGGAGGGTCGATCCTTGCACGTCTGTGCTTCTGCGAAAAATAGCTCCTTGCACTAAGTAATTAAGACTTGATTGCATACCTGAAATGAGAATTGTGTTCATAAAAGGGTTCGAGCATTGAATAGGCGTGATTTTATTATCATTTTTATTTAATCACCATTTCGATATTTGGTTTTTACGTTGAAATTAAATTGTTTTATGAACAAAATTTATCTTATCTAATAACAAATTAGGTATATCAAATGAATGATCGAGAAAGTTATTTTATAGGAAAAAATTATGCATAGAATTGGTATTTTTTAATATCAATAGTAAATTTTCTGCTTTGTTCTTTTCTTTTTCTTTCTTATCATCGATGCAATTATGAGTAATTGCGGGTAATTGCTCATGCACTAGCTATAAAAAGAAAGTTGAAGATTATAAAAAAAGTAGTTTAACACAATTAAGTTTGATGAAAAAATGTTCTTATACATTTAAAAAAATATAAATGAAATTTTAAAGGATTTATAAATAGTACTTGATAAGAATAATTATTATTATGATGATGATTTTATATAACTATACATATTGTATAATTGATATCGGTTTTTCTTGTGGTTAAATTTCTTTCGAATATAGAAGGAAACAATAATAATTTATCATTTATTCGCAATATTATTATTACTTTAAAGAAAGCGAACTATAATATAGTTAATAAATAATTGAAATAAGATTTTACGAACAAAGTTCTAAACCTATAATTTTATATTTAGTAAATGTTTGACTATGTCTTTTGTGTAATTTTCCCCTCAACTGAAAAAGAATAATCAGTATTGAATGTTGGAAAAAGTTAAGAATAGTTTAAGGATGAAAAAGTAGAAATAAATTATAAATTTCCTCTACGTTTTTCTATACTACAACTTTAAACTAAATATGCATTATGCATATTTTATAATCAATGTTATATATCTATTATATATCTATATAACTAATATAAAAAAAAATATATATATATATATGTTACAAATTCGATAATTATATAATCTTAATAACATTCGAAAGTTTTCGTAATTGTTATCATGTTTATATTAGGAAAGTAGAATTTACTTTTAAAAGTAATTTATCTTAAAATTAAAATATAATTTTAACAAAATTTTATCTCTTAAATACATTTAAATGATTTTATTCTCTTACAAATATGGTGTGTGGTAATGTTTTTACGTTTGCGATTATAGAGAGTTTATGATATCAATAAAAATAAGCTCTTTTAAAGGATGAAAATTAATTTTTAATGTCATTTCAATTATTCATTTGAAAAAAAAGAAGAAAGTAATGCTCATTATAATGACGATAATTATAAAAATAATCAATTAAAATTATTTATACAAATAGCATATACAAATACATTTATTTAATAACGTTATAAAAATTTACATGAATTTAACAATAAAATTTTAGATATATTATTCTTATAAAAAGTATAAATACACTTTCTTAATCTGTTGATGGAAATATATAGTTTCAATGTTATTCCAATATTTTAAAAATATAGTTTCACTACATTAATTTTTGTGTCATAAAATGTTATTATTTGCATAAGGAAAAGTTAGACTAAAATTTAAATGAAATTTTTATTGTATATTCTTTATGTCATCGATACTTAAAAATACATAAAACAAACTTCGACATGTTTGTAAGATTGTAAATTGATTTCATTTTACGTCTGTTAGCAAAATTCTAATTTTGTTTAATTAATACAATAGTTATCGAGTATGTAATTTTCTAAAATACGTGTTGAAATATTGCTGATAACTAATATTTTACAAATTTATAACAAAGACTTTATCTCTTAATTATCAGTAGACCTAATTTTATAAGTATAAGTAATTTAAAATTCAAATTCATTGCATACATAAACGGTATAATAAATTCTTAAGATTGCATTATTTATATTCATTAAAAAGTGATATTTTATCATTTGTTAACTTTTTTTATCCTTATATTACCAAGTGCTATTTTTATATATTTAAATAATTTATTTTAAACTAAATTAATTCAATTGAAATAATAGAATACTAAAGAATGTTTAATTTACAGATTGCTTAAGGAAATATATTACTTAATATATTGATTATAAGACGAATAATTTTGTAACAAATTGAAAGCAGAGTAAATATTGTAAATAAGAATATGAAAGAAATAAACCGTACTTGAAATGTCAAAATTTCGATTGGACGAATTGGCGTCGCCGTTTATATTATGTACATTTTCAGCAATTTATTGTGCTATTCCGACAACATATGTGGTTATAGAGGACAATTTATAAGAAATTATTTTGAATCTCTGAATCAAGATTTGGAAGAGCAATGTTTAATAATTAATCACTACTAGTTTGAGTAATAGAAATTCTCGCCAAGTCAATTCATCCCTAAAATGTATTTTGTATAACGTAAAAGCTCTTAATTGTTTCTATTATAAGCACTTTTTAAGTATTACATTAAATTATACTTTTTACTTTTTAGAAAAATAATCAATGCAACATTAAAATATTATTTAAGAAATTATATAATTAATATATCATAATGATTTATAAAATAGGTTTTAATATAGGTTTTCGATAAGCAAAGAGGGGGAGATATATATTTTTTTTTTTAATGAATCAGGAATCGATTAATAAACATTTTTTACCAATTTTTTTTCTTCAAATATTAAATTATTTTTAATTTACGTGTGCATTATGTGATAGTCAATTGTGAGCCGTATGAATCCGTAAATTTTATTAACAGACTGATAATGGATAAAAAAAAATTTTTTGTAATCCGAATAATCATGAAATACTTTAAATAGAGATGAAATCTCAGGAGAGTATTGAACTTTGTACAAATCGTTATGGAAATTAATTCAAAATATGTTAATACAATAACAATAATTAAAAAATTCATTTTTGAAAAAGTTGAGCAAACGTTAGTGGATATTAATAATTGGCGCGTTATCAATGGCCAGTAGTCAATACAACGTTGGTTCATTTAATAAATAAGGATATATCCATCATCTGTCTGTAATATAATTATGCCTTCGTTTATTGCAATTTTCAATCGATGTATACACGAAGAGGCTCAAAACACTCAATACACTAAAGTTTTGAGAAGGAAGTAGCAATAAGAGACAGACGAATAGATCGATGCACATACGAGCGAATAGACAAATAGATAGACAGGCAGATAGACAGATAGACAGATAGGTAGATAGGTTGATAGTTCATGATATTGAAAAACTATAGGTCAAGTGGAAATCGAACTTTGCTTAGTCATTAGACTTTAAATACGACGTGATAAAACGACGATGAGTGCAACTGTGATAAAAATGAGAAATACTAATAAGAATAGAGACATATGAAGATAATTAATAGTTGATGAATAAATAGATGGGAATTTGTATAGAAATCGCGACTAAGCGATGCCTGAATTGATTCTTGATCCTGTATAAATATAGGCCGCGTAAGGTTGATCGATCTGACGGGATTAATTTAAACGTTTGGCGTGGGTACTGAGGCGACAATGAGATTGTACAAAATAGTCAACTATTGCTGCACGCTGACGTGATGTATTACAATTTTTCAATTGAATTTATAAAGTTGCCGATGAAAATACCTGGGTTCTAAGCATATTTTCTTTAAGTTTTAAACTTAATTATTTCTTTTTAACTTAATTCTAATTATGTATTGAGATAAAAATTAAATATCAATTTAAATAATAAATGATAACACGGTTAACATTACTTTATGAAAATTATTTTATCAATTTTTTTTCTCAATGTAATTTATTTTAAAAATACTTGGCGCAGTCTCTTCTGAACTTTAGTTGACACGATTTCTGAATCAATAGTGAAATTACTGCTAATAATAAATCTGTATTTTATCGTATGAAAATAAATGTTTTATCGATTTATTTAATGTTTGAAGACAAATAGAAAATTGATCAAACATTACGCTTATCACTAAATGCAGTATTTTAATGTATTTATTGAAATGCAGTTTGAAAGAGTTTTTTCATATAAAAATTTAAGTTTTTTGCCGCGTGAATGTAAAATAATTCAACTTATTAGCAAAATCAAAGTATCCCAAATCGATATAATCATACTATGCTTTCTATATTAAAATACATATTATGTGTTGGAATAAAACGTAAAAATAAAACGTAGTTTATTACTAATTCATACGACTTTTTAAAATAGTATAAAACGAAGTCATTCGTTTTCAATCATTCGTTTATTCCCATATTTTACATACGTGCTTTCCAAAGTAAGGCAAGAAAGTAGGAATGAAAATGATCGCGTGTGAGTGTGTGTGAGAGAGAGAGAGAGAGAGAGAGAGAGACGAAGGCGTGGGTTGCTTTCAGTCATTCTAATAAAACAAGAAGTAAGACACTTTTTGCTGTGCATAATTATATTAGCTCGAGCGGCGACTGTGTCTCCCTCGTATTATGAGAGGTGGGAGAACGAAGGAGAGGAGATTCAGTCCTCCAGTGAAGAATTTGATTTGGACAGGGAGCAAGTGCGCGCCGAAAAGCGAGAGAAACGAATATGAATTCATTTTCCGACGGTGCTCCGTGCATCATATAACGCAATCGGGTATTATTAAATTCCAAAAAGGTCAACAACGCGAGGCTTACGTTAAGAGGATATTTCCAAGTTTTTAAATTCCATTAATGAGATTTATTATTATTTTAGTATCTATTAAAAACCATCGGTAGTGTTTCCATCAAAGTGAACTTATAAAGCTTTTTTTTTTTTTTTTTTTTTTTTGCAAATCTTTGCCATTTGTTTGATTGTAAGATCAGTTAGCGTTAGCTTTGTGGGGAGTATATACATTTGCAATTTTCGAAAATTGAACACGAGCTTTTTAGAAGACCAAACGGATTGTTTCGTGCTAATAATAATAATCTAGTGGTCTAATGTTTTTACATGGATTAATTTGTTACAAATCAAAGATAATTTGTTAATATGTAGAGCATATTGTACGAAGGACATATTCACTGTAATCAATTAAGGAAATACACATTAATTGAGTAAATAATATAAAGTTGTATAATGTAGGAGATAA